CACACACATATTTTCAGTACAGTATGTGTTTGAATGTGGAAGTGAATTGATCTGGTTTAGTTATTTATACTAATATTCCAGTGGCTGATTGCAGCAGTTAATGTTCAAACTCATAATTCAACACAGTTACTGACATATTCAAGTTGTTTGATCAGATATTTGCTCAGTGGTTGATTTTTAACAAGCTTCACTTAAGAAAACTGTTTTCTTCAGATGTTGCTCTTTCATGGCTTGGAATGCAGGTTGACATCTTAGCAATTATTATCAATTATGTTTAATGTAAGTGCTCACATTGTCTTATTTGTTTCTCCTACAATTCCTGTGCAGAAATCAAAACAGAGACAACCCAGAGATATGTAGTTAACTGAAACTAAAAACGAAATTACTCCAACTTAAACTGAAATTAAAATGGACAAAGAAAATGTAATAATAATAATAATTAAAATTAATAAAAATTAAAATAGCATCTCATTGATGCTAAAATAACACTGACTCGTGAGTCACATCAATGCTTTCAAATGTGAAGCGGCTCAGATCATTTGATGAGAAATGTTTGAGTTTATATTTAGATCTCTAACTTTGGTATCTTGGCAAATCTAAACACAGTTTGAGACAATGTTGAGATCTGAAACTCTAGAGGAGACACATGTGAGATTACTGGGCTCTTTTTTTTCAGGAGAAACAGCTGAGAAGCAGGAGAGACTTCAGCTAAAGTCTCCGATGATCTTGTATGAATTTCTTAGGATTTCTAGGCAAATAAGCAACTCAAACAAGAAACTGATTTATTCTTTCTTTAAGTTGAAATATCATCCATATAATTATTGCACCAGGTTGCATCTCAGTTGAGGTTTCAGATGAGGTTAGCTGTTCTCATTTACCAGGTTAAACTCTGTTCTCTACAGTAAATTATCCAGCAACATATTAACCTTTTACCGAGAAGCAAACTGTATAATTAACTAAAGCAAGTTACCTACTTGTTGCATGTTTCTCCAGTCTTGGAGCTTGTTGAGTTCAGAACGTTTATTTATAATTAAAGATTGGATTTAAAGGCCTCTTTCCTTTAAATACATGTTTTGCATGTCATTATCAGTGGAGAACAGAGGTCAGAGGTCGTGTTGATCAGTATCTGATGGTTTATGGTCAGCAGGTGTGATCAGACAGCAGGAGGTCACGTGACTCAAATGCTTTGATGCCTCACACACCGTCACTAGGCCTATCAGTCATACCCACCAGCTCTTGTTCAGTTTGTGTGAATCACTCCAGCAATGATTCAGTAATCCTGTATTTGTGTGTTTATTAAGCTGTCATCACATTCAGAGAGATCTCACCGTCCAGGAATGTGTGTGATGCTGAAGTTGTCTGTAGGGGGTGTGGCTTCATTTGACCGTGGGCGGCATTCAAATCATGTTGACTCTGACCAGCAGCTTTATGGGAGTTTATCCCTTATCCCCGGCTGACCCTGTGATCCCACACATGTCCGCGTGTTAGGACGGCATGTGCTGGCGTGTGAAGAAACGCCTGCGTTCAGAAGGATGTGTTTGTACCTACTTAACCATATTTTAGAGACAAATTTGTACCCAGAAGTGAGTTAAGCCTGACAAGACCTCCTATTGGGGATGTCCTTATTGATAAAACACTATAAAAATAAATAGTAAAAATGTAAATATTTTCTGTTAGGGTTAGTGTGTGAGTTAGGGTATATTATTTATAACTAGTTGTGTATAAAGACAATAGAAGTATGTTGTCCCCATTTACATTCCCAGCTAAAAGGCAATGTTCTCACAACTTTCACTAATATTTTGTCATATTTGAAAGCTCTTAAAGTAATGTTTATGGTATGTTCTTTTAACTATTTGATATATATTCTCTACACTGAGAGAAAACATTCTGAGATCAGAATTTTCCAAATGTCCTTATGATGTTATTTTTGTAACGTTTTTGTTTCAATAACATTCTAATCGTTACAAGAAAATTGGACATTTTTACTTTATCAGCTTATTATAAATAAGCTTTCAGAAACATATTTGGGGTGAAATTAAAATTAATAGAATGTTGTAAGAAACGTTTTTGTAACCTTTAAGTAACGTTATAGCAACAAAAAGAAAACTGGACATTTCAACTTTTTAGAAATGTTTCTAAAACAATGTTCCCACAATGTTTTTACAACCTAAATTTGTTTCCTGGGTAGCTGAGTATAATGTCCCCCACAAGTATAGTAATACCAGTACATTTCGATCTTGTGGGGACATTTTTTGGTCCACATGAGGAAAATGGCTTATAAATAATACAGAATTCAGAAGTTTTTTTGAAAATCTGAAAATGCAGAAAGTTTTGAGTGAGGTTTAGGGTAAGGGGATAGAAAATATAGTTTGTACAATATAAAAACCATTACACCTATGGAATGACCCCATTAATTATAGGAATGCCAGTGTGTGTGTGTGTGGGTGTGGGTGTGTGTACCTATTTAACCATATTTTGGGGACAAATTTGTACCCAAAAGTGAGCAAAACCTTACAAAATAAAGTAAACAAAGTTTTTTTGAAATTGTAAAAATGCAGAAAGTTTTGTAGGTGAGGGGTAGGGTTAGGGGTGGGTTTAGGTATATACGATGGGTTTAGTGTATAACTATCTGTATATAAAAACAATAGAAGTCTATGTAATGTCCCCATTTAGCTAAGTAAACGTGTGTGTGTGTGTGTGTGTACTGGTTTATATATCCTGGTGGGGACTTAAACCTGACTACACACAGACTCATGGGGACTCGTGTCACGGTGGGGACCTAAATTGTGGTCCCCACGGGTACAAAAGCTTATAAATCATACAGAATTAAGTTTTTTGAAAATCTAAAAATGCACAAAGTTTCCTGTGAGGGGTAGGTTTAGGGGTAGGGTTGGTGTAGGGCAATAGAATATACGGTCTGTACAGTATAACAACCATTACGCCTATGGAGAGTCCCCACAAGGATAGCTTACCAGACGTGTGTGTGTGTTAAGCTCTTTAGGATAATCTGTCTGCTTCACTTAAATCAAAAATGTTGGAAAATTATGCAAATGTGCACGCATATAATGTGATTAATTTGCATATTTTAAAATGTTTGCTTTTGTGCATTAAAGTTCATTAGGTTAAAGTAAAGGGTGTTTTGTCTAGTTCAGCTGTAGTGTCGTGCAGTGCAGTATCAGTCGGTTCTCTGTTCATAACATCACAGTCTGATCACAAACAGGACATTGTTTTCTTGCCAACACGTTGCTAATAAGATTAGCAAACACAAAACGTTAGCAGGTCTTCCTCTTTCTGTCTGTCTGTCCGTCACTCTCCCTCCTGCGTGCGTCTTTGTCCTTCCTCAACACAATGCGCTCATTCAGCGGCCTTTCTCAGCCTTACGGAAACTGTCTCACATGGAGCTCAAAATAGACCCAAACTCCCTCAGATGGGCGTCACAAATTAAACGACGTTTGTGTGTCTTAAAAAAGCTCTCAAACAAGAGCTGTTATTACGATCAGTGGGTATCAGGCTGGAGATGGAGACGGAGAACTCAGTATTTCTGTCGTTTTCCAGTACTATTATCTAACATCCCTAAACAAAGATACATTACTTTAGGAAGCAAAATAAGCTTAAGATATTAAGGAAAAAATTATCAAAATTAAGAGGGTTTTATGCTTAAAACAAGAAAAAGTATCTGACAATGGGGTCAGAAAAATAGTCTTGTTTTTCTTTTTAATGTAGTTTATTTTTCTGACCCCATTTTCAGATTTGTTTTCTTGTTTTAAGCATAAAGTAACCTCATTTTGAAGATTTATTCTTTTAGAACACAAAGTCTTACCCGTTTAGTCATGCACAACTAACTAGGTCTGTTGTGAATCTAACAAGTCATATTTCACCACACAAATTTAAAAGAAACACATTTTCACATGAGATTCACCAATTATTATTACATTTATTATTGTCCAGGCATGTGCCATTCAGGCAAATCTGTGTTATAGTTTATCTGTACTAATATAATCAGCATTAGTGAGATGGATTTCCCCACTCATGCTCACTGTGTAATCGGTTACTGACCCAGGAAGTCTTTATTTACTCCGTCATGAAGCAATGTTTACTTAGTAAAGTCCTGAGAGCTAATAAAGGTTGAACACGCGGTGCTAGAAATGCTGATAGTGGGTAGTTTAGTTAAGGTCATCAAGGTTTAACCTGTCTAGTCTAGTGTTCTGGCATTATATCAGGGCACTCCTGGTGTTTTGTCTTCTTCCTAATCCACTGTCTGAACTAAACTTGTCCTTCACCGCTGATGGGAACAGACTTTCCATTACGCATTCATTTCCTGTGAGGACTATTATTATTATTAATTATGAAAAAATAAGTAAACTGTATATATATATATATATATATATATTATAATTCATTACAATAATTGTCCTCGTTATTATTATTATTATTAATTATGAAAAAGTATATTTATTTATTTAGGATCTCTGGTTCCTAAATAAAATGAACAGATAGTTTCAGCTCTACATTTTGGTTGCAGCAATAATCTGAATATGATGTGTATATGCATACATGCATTGAAATATTATTTTATACTGTGTGCTGACAGCTTTACACAATAATTTAATTATGACTCAAACACCCACATGAAGTGCAAATAAATACATTCTGTATGTATTCACATGCAGCTAATTTCCATTAAAACAGGTATATTCCAGGGGTCTGGGGAAATTGTTTCAAAGTACACCCTACACCATTTTTTTTACTGTACTCATCAGAATATTGGCAAATTCCACTTAATATTGAAATATTGATGTGCATGTAAACAGTCACTATGTTTTTGAATACTATTCAGGAACCCATAGTATGTGAGTTCCAACATGAAGCACATTTGATTCCATTTCACTTGTATAATGTTGTGTAATTCAGAGTGAAGCAAGGTATATAAATGTACATCAGGATTCGTGCTGATCTGATATGATGGTGTTTGGTGATGTCTGTGGTTTCTTCTGTCGCAGGTGCCGTCAGACTCTGATACGGGACTGCTGGCTGAGCCACAGGTCGCCATGTTCTGCGGGAAACTCAACATGCACATCAACATTCAGACCGGAAAATGGGAACCTGATCCGTCCGGAACCAAGAGCTGCATTGGGACAAAAGAGGGAATCCTGCAGTACTGCCAGGAGGTGAAAACAACGTTCCTGTCATTCATTTATGACTGCAATACAAGGCCAAAGATAATGTGTAAAAGATAATATATGAGCCTGTGCATCATCAGAGTCACGTTAACCCAGAAACACATCTGAGTTTATGAACTAAAGTTCTTAAGAAGGTCTTTGCTCTCTAATGATATAATCATTCATATGTTGTGTCACAATATCGTGTTATTGAGAAAATAAAGATTAGATAATTTATTCAGATGTTAAATAAGACCTCAATAATAGCTGAAGACAAATATATTAAAGGGTTAGTTCACCCAAAAATAAAAACTCTGTCATTAATTACTCACCCTCATGTTGTTCGAAACCCGTAAGACCGTCGTTCATCTTCAGAACACAATTGAAGATATTTTTTGATGAAATCTGAGAGCTCTCTGACCCTCCCATAGACAGCAAGGTAACTACCACATTCAAGGTCCAGAAAAGTACCAAGATGATCGACAAAGTAGTCCGTGTGACATCAGTTGTTCAACTGTAAAGTTACGAAGCTACGAGAATAGTTTTTTTGCACAAATAAAACAAAAAGAACGACTTTATTCCACATTTTCGTCTCTACTGCGTCACTTGTGGACGCACGTTCACGACAGTATCATGACGCGAGCATGTGGCGGCACCGACGCTGACCCAGATCCGGCGTAATGAGGTCATCATGCTGGATCTGGGTCAGCGCCGGCGCCGGACTACTTTGTCGATCATCTTGGTACTTTTCTGGACCTTGAACCTAAAACGTGTAAACTATCAATCAGACAACAGAAGGCATGTAGTAGATTGTGTGCAACAAGTTTAAAAGCAAAGTTCTGATCATTTAGAGGCATGTGTGTGTCAAATATTATGCAGCAGGCTGTACAGTGTTGTAAGCGAGTGTGTCTGTGATGTTCAGGTGTATCCAGGGCTTCAGATCACAAACGTCGTGGAGGCCAATCAGCCTGTCAGTATCTGGGACTGGTGTAAGAAGGGCCGTAAGCAGTGCCGCAGTCATATGCACATCGTGGTGCCGTACCGCTGCCTGGGTGCGTGAGTTTCATCATTTCATCGCCCTGTGTTGTTCCCTCATCTCAAGTTCTCATCATGTGCTTGTTTGTCTTTCTGTATCAGTCGGTGAGTTTGTGAGTGATGCTCTGCTGGTTCCTGATAAGTGTAAATTCCTGCACCAGGAGCGCATGGACATGTGTGAGAGTCACCTGCACTGGCACACCGTCGCCAAAGAGGTCAGAAACCACAGCACACACACACACAACAACATACTCAACACACACTTCTGTTCATTTTGTGTGCATTATATACTGTAAGCTCAAACCACACATGCTCTCTGTAACAAAATGGTTTTGAAAGAAGTCTCTTCTGCTCACCCAGGCTGAATTTATTTGATAAGAAATTGTAATATTGTGAAATATGACAATTTAAAAATTTTCTATGTGAATATATTCTAAAATGTAATTTAAAAAAAATGGGGTAAATTGGATGAAGATACACAAACCTACTCTGACAGAATGGACACAGAGACTGAATCAGATATATATATTTGAGAAAATTACAGCGGATTTACAGTTCAAATCTGACATTTTCCAACAGAACTGGGCACTAATAGAAACATATTTGCTTGACCTTTAAAATGTTGTCAGGGGCTTTTTGTAGTTATCTGTATTTAGTTTAAGTTATTAACGGTTCCTTCTTTTTTTCTCTCTTTTTTTTTCTTTTGTATGGTTATTTATTTATTTATTATTTGTGTATTAATATATTAAAATGCTATGCTATGTGTAAATTGATATGTTTATACAACGTTTAATAAAAACACAGTTTAAAAAAAATGGGGTAAAATTATGCCAGAATTCTCCAAAAATTGGCTTCATTTTATTGATTTTATATTTTTATTTGAATGAATAAAATTATTTTAAATGTGCTTGTTTCAGGGTTATTATAGTTAAACCTAAAACTAAAACTATGAAAAAAACTATAAAATGTTTACTGAAATAAAATATTAAAAAAACGTATATTATTTCAGCCAGTTAACCATACAACATTTCTCATTTTCATTTGATTTAACTTGATGTACCAAAATAACTAAAACCAAAACTGAAATGAAAATGTATAAAAACTATATAGACATATATAAAAACAACAAATAGTAATGATAGAAAAAAAGAGACAAAAACACAACAAACTTGCAAAAACTTTAAAATTAACATTAAAGCAGAAAATATAAAAATAAAATCTAATTCAAAATATTAATAAAAACTATAATTGTATCTTATTGATACTATAATAACACTGATGTGTTTTCATGAAGTCTGTAGATATTCCATCCTATATTTACATACTTAGTATGAGAATCTGTTTATCATTGTAGTTCAATAGATCAATACATTATCAAACATGTACAAACACACCAATGAATAAAAACGCTGCTGTTTCACTAACACTCACAATCTGAACATATTAATGCATGTTTTTTTCAGTGTGACTCTGACTGGGTTTTGAATCATTGTATTGATTGATTTAGAGCGGTTTCATGTTGTTGGTCTTGTGTTTGATATTGATGCTTCAGTAAATGATTCCGTCCAATCGCGCACTCTTCTGTCTCTACAGTCTTGCGGCGACCGCAGCATGAATCTCCATGACTACGGGATGCTGTTGCCATGCGGTATTGACCGTTTCCGTGGCGTCGAGTTTGTTTGCTGCCCTGCAGAAGCGGAGAAAGAGTCAGATAGCGCAGTCGTGGAGGAGGATGATTCAGACGTGTGGTGGGGAGGAGCAGAGACTGACTACAGCGAGAACAGGTGTGTGTGTGTGCGCGTTTTTATGACAAATGAGGACATACATTTGTATAATGACAAAGGTATGACATAGGTATTACAAGGAGGAGGTGACTTTTCAGGACATTACCCCATGTCTCCACTTTTCAAAACGCTTATAAATCACACAGAATGGAGTGTATTGAAAATCTGAAATAGCACAAAGTCTCCTGTAAGGGGTAGGTTTAGGGGTAGGGTTGGTAAAGGGCAATAGAATATACGGTATGTACAGTAGAAAAACCATTACGCCTATGGGATGTCCCCACTTTTCACAAAAACAAACCTGTGTGTGTGTGTGAGCACGCGCGCACTTAACACACACAGAAATCATGACCCTTAGACTTTGACCCCTCGATGATTCTACTGGCTGAAATAACATTTTGGGGGGTGTTTTATTTGGTGCCCGATTAGAAATCCTAAAATATAACGATCATATACAAGTATATCATCTGTGTAGACCATAGAGGAGCTCATCATAGAGCCCAGGACCTATGACGTCCATGATTATAATTATTAATTCTGGCTAAATCTGCCACATATTTGTGGATCACAAATTAGATCACAGTCACTCAGTGACGTTTATATGTACTGTCTCTTATGAAGAAATGAGTACACAGCAGTGTTATTATAGTTAAACAATAACTAAAACCATTTAAAAAAACATTTTCGTTACTTGAAATAATATAAACGTTGACTGAAATAAAATATTTAAAAATGCACATTTATTATGTTTCGGCTAGTTGCCAAGGCAAAATGTATAATTTTAATTTAGTTTAACTTTACGTACTAAAATATCTAAAACTAAAACCGAAATAAACATTTATAATATATATATATATAGAGAGAGAGAGAGAGAGACATATTTACAAAAAACAAAAACTACTAAAAATGACAAAAACACACTACAAAATTACAAAATAAATAATGGTGGGTGCACAAAATGTTGACACTTTGAACCCAATTTGGACATTTTCACTTTTGTGGCCAGCGGTCTAGACATTAATGGCTGTGTGTTGAGTTATTTTGAGGGGACAGCAAATTTACACTGTTATACAAACTGTACACTCACTACTTTACATTGTAGTGTAAAGTGTCATTTCTTCAGTGCTGTCACATGAAAAGATATAATAAAATATTTACAAAAATGTGAGGGGTGTACTGTGAGATACTGTATATATATATATATATATATATATATAATGCAAACTAATTTATTTAAAGAATACATTGCATATATTACATTATATAGCCAAAGCTACAGATTAGGTAATCAAATTAAACATATAACATAAGCATAATATTCACAGGTTAAAAGATAATCACAATCATGTCAAACTGTTATAGAAAATAAAAAATAAAAAAATGAAGTATTAATCCTATAATGATTAATATTGTTTTTTGTTTTTTTTTATGTTGTATGAATTATTAGTCATTTATTATTCTTAATAGCAATTCAAGAGTAATAAGAATACATTTATATTATTATTATTAAATACTTTTAATATCCAGATAAACTAAAAATTAAATTAAATATAATAATACTCATAATCATGATTACACGCACTACAAACAACTCTCCATTTTTGTTTGATTTGGTTTGGATTAGTGCTGGGCACTTGATCATAAACACCATACTGTGATGTTTTCAAAGTGAAACACATTCTCATACTAACTAACATGTATGTATATAGGATGGAATATTTACAGATTTCCTGATTTTTTTTATTAACAAAAAAGGGACTTGTTTTGATGCCTGATTGAATGGCGAAGTGTCTCTATATGACAGATGGTTGAAGTATTATGAACAGTGTTGGGCAAGTTACTCTGAAAATGTAATCAAATTACTGATTACTCCTTTTAAAAGTAATCACGTTACTGTTCTGATTACTTTATTTCAAAAGTAATTAGTAATTAGTTTCATTACTAGTTACGTTACTTTTTTCTCCATGAAATTGATCTCAACACTCAACGCACTCTCCCAGCTTTTTTAGGTGCAAAGACCTATTTCTTATATATAAACCGTTACTCAAGGTCTGCACTCTAAAATTCTCTTTATCTAAACAGGAGATAAATACAAATAACAGATGTTTCGGCTTGCTGCCTTCATCAGTGTGACAAGATCTCAGTAACTCGAAGATTATATGAAGACCAACAATGACCCAGAGGTGGTTTCCAGATTCACAGACTCCAGATCAGGTCCATCTATAACAGCAACACATTTCAACAAAAGCTTAAACAAAAATCAATGGGGACAATAACACTTCAGACAAAAACATGCCGTTCATACACCTTGCTCCCCAAAAATTTACAAGAAACATGAAAGATCAAAATCCTCATTTAAACCCAAAGGTGACATGGTCTTTAAATAAAACATCCAAGACGCCTCTCTTTGTAAGAGTCTTTTATCAATATCTCCACCCCGGCGAGGATTCATTATTTTCTCAATTCCTATACATTTCAGTTGTTCAATACCATGATTATATTCAATAAAGTGTCTGGCCACTGAGACGTAACATCACATCTACGAATTGCTGATTTATGTTCACTGATTCTAATTCTCAATGGCCTCAAAGTTTTTCCAACATACGTGGACATGGACATTGAAGTAAGTATATTATATTATTAGTAGAACATGTGATACAAGATTTGATGTAGTATGTTTTATTCGTCAGTAAACATGTAAACTTTTTGCATTGTGATATTGAAGAACATGATGTACAATTTCGACATGGAAAACAACCTTGTATATATGTTTTCTTGTCATCACGCACTACATCTGATCTAACTAGCATATAGGTGACATGGTCTTTAAATAAAACATCCAAGACGCCTCTCTTTGTAAGAGTCTTTTATCAATATCTCCACCCCGGCGAGGATTCATTATTTTCTCAACTCCTATACATTTCAGTTGTTCAATACCATGATTATATTCAATAAAGTGTCTGGCCACTGAGAAGTAACATCACATCTACGAATTGCTGATTTATGTTCACTGATTCTAATTCTCAATGGCCTCAAAGTTTTTCCAACATACGTGGACATGGACATTGAAGTAAGTATATTATATTATTAGTAGAACATGTGATACAAGATTTGATGTAGTATGTTTTATTCGTCAGTAAACATGTAAACTTTTTGCATTGTGATATTGAAGAACATGATGTACAATTTCGACATGGAAAACAACCTTGTATATATGTTTTCTTGTCATCACGCACTACATCTGATCTAACTAGCATATTTGCCAAATTTGAAGATCTTTTGTAAGTAAACATCGGAGGTTGTTTGAAAACATCTTTTAAAGAAGGATCTGAAGCTAAAATGAACCAATATTTATTTACAATAGATTTAATCTGATGGCTATTTTTTGTGTAGGTTGAAATATAATTTACTGAAAATGGTTTCTTCTGTTTTTTTTGATAGTTCAATAACTGAAATCTCTCAGATTTTTTGACTTTTTCAACTGCTGAATGAAACCAAGTTTGTGGATAACCTCTAAAGTCTATAGAGTTGACTTACTGGTAACACTTTTTTCAGAGGCAGTGGGTGATAACTATCCGCAGACAATGTATTTTTGTCTGTTGGTTTATGGAACACTGTGGTGGAGATCTTGTTGTTTATTTTTGATATAACCACATCTAAAAAATGAATTGATGATAAATTGTTTTCAACTGAAAATGTAATAGAACCTAATCTTGAATTCAAAAACTGTACAAATTCAAACAAATCCTCTTCACTTCCTTTCCAAATGAGAAAACAATCATCAATGTATCTTGCCCAGTGCTTAATGAAACTTCCCCATGAACAACTGAAATGTATAGGAATTGAGAAAATAATGAATCCTCACCGGGGTGGAGATATTGATAAAAGACTCTTACAAAGAGAGGCGTCTTGGATGTTTTATTTAAAGACCATGTCACCTTTGGGTTTAAATGAGGATTTTGATCTTTCATGTTTCTTGTAAAAAAAAAAAAAAATTATTTTGGGAGCAATGTGTATGAACGGCATGCTTTTGCCTGAAGTTTTATTGTCCCCATTGATATTTGTTTAAGCTTTTGTAGAAATTTGTTGCTGTTATAGATGGAACTGATCTGGAGTCTGTGAATTTGGAAACCTAATTACCATCACCTCTGGGTCATTGTTGGTCTTCATATAATCATTAAGTTACTGTCACACTGATGAAGGCAGCAAGCCGAAACGTCTGTTATTTGTATTTTTCTCCTGTTTAAATAAAGAGAATTTTAGAGTGCAGACCTTGAGTAACGTTTTATCCATGAAATTTATGAAATCCCAGAATATACACGCTCCCGATATATATATATGTGTTTTAAAGCATCAACATTCACAGAACACTGATATTTTTAACTAAAGCAAGCAGCTGCTGCATGCATGGTTTGGCATGGCAATGAATGCCAGCAAAGAGCGCTGCATTTATAATCTCTAAAAGACTTCTCAGTTCATCGCAATCTCACAAATCTCTGTTATAACACAATAAATATATGCATAATGAATCTTTCATAATGTCTACAATTCGTGTGTTATAATGAGAGGATTTGTGAGCACGCAAATTTCAGCACTGCATTGCTCAACGCTGCAAACACGTGTTATAGCCTAAATGGAAACTCTGCATACGCTTGCACCTGTTAATCGTTTATATTTTATATTAAGTCATGTTGCTTTTGTGCAATAGATGAAAAACAATTTATTTTTGTTTTAGATATTTTATGTTTAGATATTTCTATTTTGCGGGAGTCCCGTGAATCATTTTATTCTTCCGCATCCCGCACACACGAGTGTCCACCCGCCCCAGCACTCGCCCATCTTCTCCCGCGCCGCACTCTGTTGCGTCGGGTCTCGCGGGAGCAGGTCTCTAATCCACTGGCACTTGACTCCACACTGCGTGTGCTACATCCTTTTTACAATCTCTAGATTATAAAACACTGCATTCTGTCAGCAATGTAACGCGGCAGTAACGTATAGAGACCTCGGCTTGTAACTATACTCTAATTACTATTTCGAAAATTGTAACACGTTAAATTACTACGTTACTAAAAAAGTAGTCAAATTACAGTAACGTGTTACTAAGTAATGCGTTACTGCCCAACACTGATTATGAACATGCTTTCTGTCATTGTGATTTGATGGCTGTGTTTTCCTCCAGCATGACGCGAGACGCAGGATCCAAACCCGCTGTGGTGGAGAATGATGAGGATCCAGACGAGGAAGAGGAGGAGGTTCTGGACAATGATCAGGACGGAGACGGAGACGAGAATGAGAAAGAGGTCGAGGACGACAAGATTGTGGACGAGCGCAGCGACAGCAGCCAGAGCACCAGCATCGCCATGACGACCACTACCACCACCACCACAGAGTCAGTAGAGGAGGTGGTGAGAGGTGAGTGACATCCAATCACGTTCAGTGTTCACTCATCAGATGCTGACAGATGCTAGTCTTCACGCGTGCGTGTGTGTGTGTCCCATCAGAGGTGTGTTTTGCGAGTGCAGAGACGGGCCCCTGTAGGGCCATGTTGCCCCGCTGGTATTTTGTGCGTGAGGAGGGCCGCTGTGCTCCCTTCATCTACGGAGGCTGCGGAGGAAATCGCAATAACTTTGAGTCGGAGGAGTACTGTCTGTCTGTCTGCAGCAGCGTGTGTAAGTCACCCACAGAACGACTGACCGGGTGTGCCACTAACACTGATGAATAGTGGTCGACCGATATGGGTTTTTTGACTGCCGATGCCGATATCTTGGAAAGTAGGGTGGCCGATGGCCGATATCATTTTATTTATTTTAATTCATATTTAAGAAATCTGAAAACATTTGAAAATGGATTAAAAAATAAACGTGTAAAATAAACATACTTATACTCTAGAAGACAAAGTATTTTTCACAAATAAATAAATATTTAATAAAAATATAATTAAAAAGGAAGTAAACATTGTAACCAACAGGGCACTCAGTATTCTGGGAAGTTTGTGTGCATTGGGAATCACATTTTTTCAAATAAAGCCAAGGTAACACTCATTTTACATACAGCACACAGTGAAAAGGACATTAATATGACAGTGGGCAAAAGCATGAAGTGCAGCATAATTTGAAATCACGAGTTTAAAGTTTGTCGATCGTGCGTCTCCAGTCAAGCTGAGCTCTCCTCCTGTCCGTATTCAATTCGCATGGACCATAGGACCGACCGTCACAGAACACGCGATCATGCAGGTCACATCCACACTTCACAAGATCTCAACTAGATTCGACTAAGTCTGCAAGGTTTGTGAAATTAAATGTTCATTAGTCATTCACATGTCACGTCACTTTCAAAGATTTGTTTAAATTATATAAATGCATATTTGCGGAATGCTGACGGCAAACGAGAAAGTATTATAATGTTTGCCTTTAATAATATTAAAGCAATCGTTATAATACTTTTTTGTATACATTTTAATTTCTTTGTTTAAGAGTTCTATCTGATTATTCGATAGACTTCTATCCGTATTAGACAGAACTGAATGATAACAGCGAACAAGAGGGAGAATGTGAGCACTGTGTGCTCAGGCGCTGCCGCAGCCGTTCTCGGCGCCGTCAAAATAAAAGTCCCACCTCAAACACATCGGCCAAACAGAAAAACTCATCGGCCTATGCCGATATTTGAAAAATGGCAGATATCGGCCGATATATCGGCCTTGGCGATATATCGGTCGACCACTACTGATGAACATGCATTTTCTTGCCCTCATGACTTTCAAAAAGTGGAACACAAAAGAAGACGTTTAGAGGGATGTTGAACTCGTGGAGATTGAAGAAGCAGTCGTCAGTAAAATGACGAGAACACAGCAAAAAAGTTGTGATTATACTGCTGTGATATCTTAGTAAAGATGAATTTTAACCACTGATTCTTCACAGCCAGACTCTGTTCCATGTCTCGTGTTGTGTTTTCCTCCCCAACGTGCTCTGTTTATTTCCTTGTCCTTATTTGGTTATCTTCCTGTTCCTGCTCCCTGATTGTTTCTAATTTGAGACCAGGTGTTCCCCGTTTAGTTTGTATTGTTCCCAGGTGTGTCCCATTAGTTTCTGTGCATTTTAACCCTGTGTTTCCCAGTGTTTCCGGTCTGCTGTTAAATGTAATTTTGTGTTCTCCGTGATTACCTGTGTTCCCAGTTTTGTTTTCATTAAAGACTTTTGAATTTGCTTTACTCCTCATCTCCTCGCTCCTTCGTTCCCGTGCTCCCAGTGTGAATCGTGACAGAACAGCAGACCCAAAAACAAAGAGTAAGCAGCGCCCCTTCACCCGTGTTGTTGTTTTCGTTTTGAATAGTCTTTTGTTTTTCCGTTTTTCTCCCCGTGGTATGAGGACTGCCCTGCCGGCCACTCCGAAAATAAGCCCTCAGGCCGCTCCGAAGACAAGCATGCCAGCCACTCCGAAGACAATCTTGCCACTCCTAAGTCAAGTTTGCTGGCCGCTCCGAAGTCAAGCCCGACGGCCACCCCAGGGCTCGCTCCAGTGTCGGCTCCAGCCCCAGAGCTCGCTCCAGTGTCGGCTCCAGCCCCAGAGCTCGTACCAGTGTCAGCTCCAGCCCTTGAGTTCGCTCCAGTATCAGCTATATCCTCTAACCAGAGTCGAGAGATCGCTCTAGCCCCAGACCAGCATCAAGATAGGGCTGCAGTTCCCACTTCCAACCCCGTGAGGGCTCCTGTTCCCGAGTTTAGCCCACGGAGGGCTCCTGTCCCCGAGTTTAGCCCACGGAGAGCTCCTGTCCCCGAGTTTAGCCCAGTGAGGGCTCCTGTCCCCGAGTTTAGCCCAAGGAGGGCTCCAGTCACGGAATTCAGTCCAGAGCGCACTCTTATGCCCACGCCTCGAGAGTGCACACCAGTGCCCGCTCCTCCAGAACACCCTCAGGACCCCGTTCCTGCCAAGATGCCTGTAAACCTCTCCAAGTATTTTTGGGGGGGGGAGGGGGGGGGGGGAGCCGTAGAGGCCAGGGCTGGGAACACGGCCTCGGAGGCTGCTCTGCCATGGCCTCCTGAACTGTCTGCTCCGCCATGGGGCCTCCTGAGTTCCCTACTCCACCATGGCCTCCTGGACTGTCTGCTCTGCCATGGCTCCCCTAGCTGCCTGATCCACCATGGTGCCCCGAACGGGTATCGCTTTAGAGGCCCACCGTCCCGTGTCTGTCCTGAGGGACCTCCAGAGCACCCACCCCCCCTCCCCATTGGATGTTGTGTGGCGCGAGGACGCACCTTCTGGGAGGGGGGAGTAATGTCAGACTCTGTTCCATGTCTCGTGTTGTGTTTTCCTCCCCCACGTGCTCTGTTTATTTCCTTGCCTTTATTTGGTTATCTTCCTGTTCCTGCTCCCTGGTTGTTTCTAATTTGAGTCCAGGTGTTCCCTGTTTAGTTCGTATTGTTCCCAGGTGTGTCCCATTAGTTTCTGTGCATTTAAACCCTGTGATTCCGGTCTGCTGTTAAATGTCATTTTGTGTTCTCCGTGATTACCTGTGTTCCTGTGTTCCCAGTTTTCATTTCATTAAAAACTTTGGAATTTGCTTTACTCCCTGTCTCCTCGCTCCTTCTTTCCCATGCTCCCAGTGTGAATCGTGACACTTTGGAAGTGAAAATAAACCGAATTCACTTTCACAGCGCAGAGTCTACTTGCATTGTTATCCACACGAACGAGCTACAGCGTTTGAAGTTTGTTTTCGCAGGATGTCCACACAGAACGTAGGCAGGCATTATGCACATATAATAATTTGTGACGTGTGAAATTTGCGGAATGAGATTTGAATTTAAAACGATGTTTCAGAGTCGACTCTTTCTTTTGAGAGACAAAACTTTATTTATGATGCACTTTCAGCTTTACAACTTTACAGACAGTTTACATTCACATACAGCTGCATTACACACTGCATGAAAGTACTTGATTAGAATTTGAACGGCAGTGTTATTTATATTTAAATTTACCTGTAGTGTCATTTGTAGTGTTAGTTGATATTACATTTGAAATTAATATATTTTAAATACACTTAACTACCTTATTACAAATGTTTAAATACAAATGAATTTAAATGCATGACAATATGTTGTATAATATAAGTGAGTAGTAATGACATTAAAGTATATTTTAGTTTACCATAAATGCTTGTCAGTACATTCAGCAGTACACTTATATGAAGATGTATAAAGATGTACTTCAGTCTTACTTGCAGTAAGTACATAAGTAAAAAGCACTCTAATATAAATTTAAACTATGATACATTTTCATTTAACTGCAGTTTAACTTGCAGTCAATTAGTTGAAAACATTACATGCAGTTTACAATGAAATATATTTTAAGTATATTATTTTTGTAATGGGTACTATTTCTACAAGTACGTTACTTTTTCACAAGGGTGATGATACATCTATGATTATATCTACAATTTTAGTCACTTATCAAGTAACTTATTTTATTTTAGCTAGTTGCCAAGGCAACATTTAATTTAATTTAATTTATTACATTAATTTTTTTTTTTTTTCATTTAATTTAATTTAAGTTAATGTACTAAAATATCTAAAATGGTAACACTTGACAATAAGGTTGCATTAGTTAATGTTAGTTCATGTATTAACTAACATTAACAAACCATGAACAGTACATTTATTACAGTATTTATTCATCTTTGTTAACGTTAGTTAATGAAAATACAGTCTTTCATTGTTAGTTCATGTTAGTTCACAGTGCGTTAACTAATGTTAACAAGCACAACTTTTGATTTGAATAATACATTAGTAAATGTTGAAATTAACATTAACTAAGATTAGTAAAGGCTGTAGAGATATTGTTCATTCTTAGTTCATGTTAACTAAAGTAGTTAACTGATGTTAACTAATGAACCTTATTGTAGTGTTACCACTAAAACTATAATAAAATTAATGAAAACTACATATTTAAAAAATAATAATAAAAATTAAGAAAACACGACAAAATTACAAATGTTTTAAATAAAATGAAAATGAAACAAGAAAATATATTTAAAAAACAAATAATAATCATCCAAAAATATTAATAAAAACTATAATAGTTCCTCAATGCTGAAATAGAACAGGTTGGACTAAACAGGTGTCATATAGAGATTATCATGTACATCCTCATGCCACTGTAACTTCATCATTTGGCAAAAAACTTCCAGAATGTTCCCTGCTGTGAGAATATGACAGTTACTAGTGTTTTATTATATTGTCTTCATTACAAATTAAACATGAATAAACTGGTCAGTTGGAAGCTTTTAGTGTCTTCTAACCGCTTTCTAACAATCACTTCTATCACTTCTAATGCTGTTAAATCGTCTTCTCATGTCCTGCAGTAAAAGTTTGTCTGTGATCCGCAGTGCCGACTCCCTCCTCTAGTTCTCCGGACGCAATGGACCAATACCTGGAGACGCCAGCAGACGAGAACGAACACGTGCACTTCCCTATAATAGTTCCTCAATGCTGAAATAGCACAGGTTGGACTAAACAGGTGTCATATAGAGATTATCATGTACATCCTCATGCCACTGTAACTTCATCATTTGGCAAAAAACTTCCAGAATGTTCCCTGCTGTGAGAATATGACAGTTACTAGTGTATTATTATATTGTCTTCATTACAAATTAAACATGAATAAACTGGTCAGTTGGAAGCTTTTAGTGTCTTCTAACCGCTTTCTAACAATCACTTCTATCACTTCTAATGCTGTTAAATCGTCTTCTCATGTCCTGCAGTAAAAGTTTGTCTGTGATCCGCAGTGCCAACTCCCTCCTCTAGTTCTCCGGACGCAATGGACCAATACCTGGAGACGCCAGCAGACGAGAACGAACACGTGCACTTCCTGAAGGCCAAAGAGAGCCTGGAGGCCAAACACCGCGAGCGCATGTCTCAGGTACCGGATTTACAATAGCGCTCAAAAAGAAACTTTTATTCATCAGGGGCAATTTAAATTAATCAGAAGTGACAGTAAAGACATTTATAATGTTACGAAAGATTTCCATTTCAAACAAATGCTGTTCTTTTGAACTTTCTGTTCATCAAAGAATCCTGAAAAATAAAATGTAAAACAGTTTCCAAAAAAAACATGAAGCTGCACAACGGTTTTCAACATTGATAATAATCAGAAATGTTTCTTGAGCAGCAAATCGGCATGAAAACCAGTTCGTAGGGAGCGTAATTTCCTTTTTGGGTAAAAATAATTTCTTAATATGAAATTCGAAGAGTATGACAATCAGATTAGACTGTGCAGAAATTGAAATCTACACACTATACTCATAGTCACCAATGCTGATGTTGTTAACATTAATCATTTGAGAATAAAGTATAACAATAATAATAATTTGAACGGTTTGATGTGATATGAGCCAACTGATCTTTAGATTTAATCACCATTGGTAGCGGGATTTATGGTAATGTTTTTTTCCTCAATTGGTCAGAACAAATGTGGCAGACTCAATTGCAGGTTTTCAAACAGAGATGGCGACAAAGAGGCAAAACTTACGGAGTGCAGCTTTAATGTAAAATGTGTGTGTGTATAATATGATGTTTAATACATGATGGAGGATAAAGTAGTCATAGTTATATTATATGTTCTGTAGGTGATGAGAGAATGGGAAGAGGCCGAGAGACAGGCGAAGAGCTTACCGCACAATGACAAAAAGGCCGTGATCCAGGTCAGTTTGTGTCCTTAAAGGGTTAGCTCACCCAAAAATGACCTCCGCTCACCTCCGTTCATCTTCGGAACACAAATTAAGATATTTTTGATGAATTCTGAGAGCTCTCTGTCCCTCCCATAGACAGCAAGGTAATTACCACGATCAAGGTCCAGAAACGTAGCAAGCAGATCGGTAAAATAATCCATGTGACATCAGGGGTTCAACCGCAAAGAAAACAAAGATAATGACTTTATTCAACAATTCGTCTCCTCCGCGTCACCCTGTAGCGCCATTTTGGAGAATATCCACTGAACGTAAACAGTGTATGCTACTGCGTTTGTTTTCTTTGCATACAAAAAGTATTCTCGTAGCTTACCGATCTCCTTGCTACGTTTCTGGGCCTTGATCGTGGTAATTACATTGCTGTCTATGGGAGGGTCAGAGAGCTCTCAGAATTCATCAAAAATATCTTAATTTATGTTCTGAAGATGAAAGGAGGTCAACAGGTTTAGTACGACATGAGGTGAGTAATTAATGACAGAATTTTCATTTTTGGGTGAACTATCCCTTTAAAAGAACCTTTACCAGGAAATCATCACATGGAAGTTTCCCATGAGGCCCTGAAGCACACTTCCCATAGTCCTTCGCTCTTACTGGAATATTTTCCATGAGGCTTTGCTTGACCTCTGTTTGTTCCGCAGCACTTCCAGGAGAAGGTGGAAGCTCTGGAGCAGGAGGCGGCCAGCGAGCGGCAGCAGCTGGTGGAGACGCACATGGCGCGTGTGGAGGCACTGCTGAACGACCGCCGGCGCATCGCTCTGGAGAGCTACCTGTCTGCCCTGCAGGCCGATCCGCCCCGGGTACATGCCGTGTCCTTCAACACACAAATATACATACAGTCCCACCACCCTCCACTCGATATTATAACTACAGTCTAGATACTGAAAAACATGAGAATCTCACAAGAAACACGAACATACACTAGCATTCCAAAGTTTGGAGTCAGTAGGATTATTAAATATTTAAAATGAATTCAGAAATAATATATTTCTCTACACAAAACACAATGTGTAGTCATTTGTGTAGTCATGAAGTCATTTGACTTCTTTTGACCGGAAGTCAAATGAATCTGTGAATCATTTTTGAAAATAGTGTTGAATAATATTTTTATAATAGTTTAGTTTTTTAGCTTACATTGTAATTTAAAGTGAACAATATTGCCTAGTTTGTACTCACATTAAAGTGAAGTGACATGTGGCCAAGTATGGTGATCCATACTCGGAATTAGTGCTCTGCATTTATCCCATCCAAAGTGTGCGCACACACAGCAGTGAACACACACACACACCGTGAACACACACCCGGAGCAGTGGGCAGCCATTTTTGCTGCGGTGCCCGGGAAGCAGTTGGGGGTTCGGTGCCTTGCTCAAGGGCACCTCAGTCGTGGTATTGAAGGTGGGAGAGAGCGCTGTACATTCACTCCCCCCACCTACAATCCCTGCCGGTACGAGACTCGAACTCGCAAAAATGAACTGCTTGACAAACAGTTATTTAGGATTTGGATGCATGTGATGTTACCGTGAGTCTTTTTTCCTTGTGATTAATATGGAATAAGTAATTATTGAAAGCTAATAACTTAGTGTTGTCTCTCTTTAGCCACGGCACGTGTTCAGCCTGCTGAAGAAGTATGTTCGCGCTGAGCAGAAGGACCGACAGCACACACTCAAACACTTTGAACACGTGCGCATGGTCGATCCTAAGAAAGCTGCTCAGATCCGGCCTCAGGTACCAGTCAGCAGAGAGAAAAACACTAATAATAACCAGCAGAATATCATCATTGTTCACAGTCAGTGTTCTTGTGCTTTGCACAAGTACAGTATGCTACCTATAAATAATGAATCACTTTGTTCCAGTAGCATTGTTTAACTTTTGCACTTGACAAGGCCAGGAATTTTATTATATTATGGTTTTGTTCAGTAAGATTGGAATTATGGAGAGAGACTAATAGTAAACTGATTAACAAAGTTAAGCTGGTGTTTGAGACACTCATTGGGATACTGTTATACTTTTTATTCATTTTAATTCGTTTTTTAATGTATTTAGTTTAATTTCATTTTAATTCGTTTTTAATTTATATTTGCATTTCAATTTTTTGTCAGTTTTTTTTTACATCAAGTTAAGCTAAACAAAAATTAGAAGTATTGCCTTGGCAGTTTTTTTCATATTTTATTTTATTTTATTCCAGCTAAAATGTATTTTATTTCAGATAACAAAAATAGTTTTTTTATGGTTTAGTTTTAGTTGACTATAGTAACCCTGGTCTGGCTTTGTTTTGTTTTGTTTATTTAATTTTAACTGTTTCACCACACTATTACAAACTATTGTGTTATAAACTATTCAACTATGCATCACTCTCTATTGCAATGGATTGTGATTTGACATTGACTGATGTAGAGCATTTTAAATCAGTCACATGTTCCTTTTCATGAGGATGTTGCCTAAGTAGGCAGCTCCCTATGTTGACAGCAAGCTAGTTTACTAGGATTTACATGAAAGTCAATGAAGATGAGCAAAGCGTGAGTTAGCTGGATCTTTGGAATTGATGCAGATTAAAGGCTCACTGACCCTTCTGACCTTTGACCTCAGGTGCTGACCCATTTGCGTGTGATTGAGGAGCGGATGAATCAGTCTCTCGGGCTGCTGTTCAAGGTCCCGGGAGTCGCTGAAGATATTCAGGACCAAGTCGGTGAGTTTGAGGCAATAAAGAAAGAAATGTGACCGTTGATGTGCACTGAACCAGGATTATTAGCTAAAACTAAAATAAAACCATGAAAAAAAACATTTTGTTACTTTTAATAAAATTACAGAGCCTCACAAATGACATGGGAAATATATATATATATATATGTTGTGGCCACAAATTAAGAACTCATACCCACAATTTACTAATTTGTTTGCTCATTTTGATTTAACTTAAACAGGGGAACAAATTAGTAAATCATTTTAAATAAAGATTTAAGTAAATGTTTTTTCTCTCATGTCATGTCTGAAACAAAATAAAATATATAAAAACCATTCAACTTATTTTATTTCAGCTATAATAAAACATATTTGTTGACTTAAATAATCATTAACTGAAATAAAATAAAATAGACATATTAACAGAAAACAAAAACTAATAAAAATGACAAAAACACAACAAAATTACTTACAACTGAATTATTCTTTATCAAACAATTATTTTTATTTATTCTGTATTTTAATTCAGCTATTTTTCAAGGCAACATTTCTCATTTTCATTTAGTTTAACTTGAAAGTCCAGAAGGACTAAAACTAAAACTGAAATACAAATTATTTTAAAAATAATAATAATATTAAAATGACAAAATGAATCTACTAAAACTTTTAAAAGGAATTAAAATGAGAAAAGAAAATATAAAAATAAAAACTCATTCAAAATATTAAGAAAAACTATAATAGTATCTCAGTGATAGTAACATAACACTGCACTGAAGGTACTGTATGAACACTGTATGGGTACACAACTTTTTATTTTCTTTCTCCTAAACACTGTATGATGTTGTTCTTTAGGAAAGAGATGCATCAGTCTAAATGATGACAAACTGTTTCTTTAACTTTTTCTCAAATTAATCCACATGAACTCACCTGTATGTAGTGATGGAGTGATGTCGGTCAGATGTTGTATACAGGCTGATCTCTGGCTCTCCTCTTCACCTCCTCCTGGTTTATTTGTGTCCGTGCGTCACTGCACCATCTGTACTCTCTGTCTCTCTGGCTTCATTCCTGTGTTCGGCAGCAGCTCGTCTTTCATTAAGCGTGTGTGTAATTAAAGCTCTGATCAGCAGGTCGTTTCCTCTGTAATCATGTCGTATCATCAGCCTGCCATTTCTTCTCTTTCATTTGCCTACCGCAGAGTTTTTTCCATTTTCTGCCCAAGATCACATGACTCCTGAGCATCTTTTTTAACTCTGCCATCCCCCCATGCAGCATCAAAATGAATCAAAATCAATTAATTTCTATCGGATTTAAACATTACCAAAATGTTTGTTTTTAAAAAACTATAAAAAGATATATGTGGTAGTAGTGTGTGTGTGTGTGTATTAGGGCTGTCGATTGATAATTTATTTTTAATATAATTAATTACATGATGTGGTGATTAATTAATCTAATCGATCACAAATTAAATTTGTTTGTGAAAAAAAGAAGGAATAATTTAAAGCCAAGAGCTAATTTAAAGACATTAGTGTGTTAAATGAGAAAAGTATCAAATAGACATTATAAAATGTAGCGTTAGAAATAAATATTTTATTTGATTCAACATAAAATGTATTACACATTTAGGCTACAGTGGCCTAACATAAACTATGGAACATAAAAGAAGATGATTTGAGAAGCATCTCTAGTTTTTGTTCATATAATAAAAGTCATTGGTAACCAAAAGAGCTTGGTTACCAACCGTCCTCAAAATATCTTTTATGTTCCACAAAAGAAGTAAGAAACAACATGAGAGTGAGTAAATGATGTCAGATATTTAATTTTTTGGTGAACTATCCCTTTTTTTAAATATGGAAAAAGAAAAAAAAAAAATTATGAAATGATACACTAAATAAGAAACTAAAACTGCCAGTAGGTGGCGGTAAATGTCTTTATGAGTAAGTCATTGAGTCATTCATTCATTCATTCATTGGATTTGTTCAAAAGGATGATTTATTCAGAAACTAAACACCGCTGTGTTGCTCGGAGACGCACAACAGTTCTGCTGTGGCTTTATAGGTAATATTTTCGTTGGCAAAAACAGACAATATTGTGTTTAAAATATAACACAACATTAACTTATTTACTGAACTGTCGTATAAATCAGATATGCACTCGTGCTATTCAGGACAAAAACAGCGCTCGTGTGATATTGAATTCTCTTGAATTATAGGGACATATAACTGCATTTATTTAACTGCTTCAAGTCAACTCAACAGTCAAATGTTTGCAATGTAAGATGACGTACAGGTCTGAAAAACTGAAACTAAAATTAAAACCTAATAAAAAAAACATTTTCATTAATTGAAATAAACATTAACTGAAATCATATATATTATATAAAACATTTCCCATTTTAATTTAGTTTAACTTGATGTTTTAAAATGACTAAAACTAAAACTGAAATCGTAAAATAAAATAAAAACTATATAGACGTTTGCATAATAGGACTAGGTGTTATAATCCCAAAATTCAGCACCATTTAGCCGCACCATAGAACATTTTCTCTTCACTGTGAGCAGAACACAGCGAGACGCAGCAATTGTTATGCTCTGAATTTGGTTCAGCAAGAATCCAGGATCATGGCCTGATTCATGCCTCAATACCCAATAATCAGTCGTGAATTTACAATTGCTTTATGCGTGACTGGGGAGCAATAAAAAAAGGACTAGTATGGTAAGATGGATAGATGAAGATGGTGCAATTCTTCGCTGCAGTCATTGGGTGGGGATTCTTGACGTTTTGATGATATGTAATGCTGCACATGATGTGTACTTCTCTTTCATGGATGTTGCCAGTGAGACACCTTATCTGATGTCTATCAGATCCCAGTTTCTGTACGAACTTTAGCCTGGGTGAAAGATGGCAATGGCAATGGCAATTTTATTTATATAGCACTATTTACTACAACCAGAGTTAACCAATGTGCTTTACAACAGAATAAATAAAAACAGCAATAACACAATGAAAAATAAAAACATTAAAACCACGAACGAGGAGAGAAAAAGGAAAAGAAAAACATCATAACATGCAGCAAAAATATAGGACAAGGATAAAGAGTGCTTCAAACAGAGTTTAAAAGCCTTATCGAACAGATAGGTTTTTAATTTAGACTTAAAAATAGCCACAGATGAAGCAATTCTAATAAAAATGGGCAGATCATTCCAGAGTCTTGGCGCAATTGTAGCAAAAGTGCGATCACCCCTGCACTTCCGCCTCGTCTTGAGGATAAACAAGAGTCTCTGGTTAGAGGACCGGAGAGATCTGGTTACATTGTGCTCAATCAATAAGTCAGAGATATATGATGGAGCCATACCATTTAGTGACTTATAGACAATAAGTAAAATGTTTAAATCTACTCTCTAACGCACAGGCAGCCAGTGTAAAGACTGTAAAACCAGAGTAATATGATTCCGTTTATGAATCCCGGTCAAAAGTCTAGCTGCCGCATTCTGAACCAATTGTAATCGGGATAAAGCTGTTTGACTAATCTCAGCACAAAGTGAGTTACACTAATCTAATCTAGAGGTAATAAAAGCATGAATCACTTTCTCAAAGTTTTTAAAAGAAAGAAAAGTCTTCGCTTTAGACAGAAACCGCAACTGAAAAAAGGATGATTTGACCACAGAATTTATCTGCCTATCAAACTTCAGATGTTCATCAAATACCACACCCAAATTTTTCACATATTGCTTAACACATGATGATAACCCACCAAGGTTTGGATTGGGAGCAGTCAAAGAATCTGAGGGTTTAAAAACAACAATTTAATTTTTTTTCCTCATTGAAATTCAGAAAGTTTAGCGACAACCATGCCTTTACATCTGTCAAACAGGCCAGGAGAGCATCCAGTCCATCCGAATTCCATTTTATTGGCAGATAAACTTGTGTGTCGTCAGCATAACAATGGAATGACAACCCATATTTTCTGAAAATGGAACCAAGTGGAAGCATATATAAAGAAAAAAGTATGGGAGCCAAAATGGATCCTTGGGGAACCCCACAGGTTAATACAGCATTACTAGAAGTATGATCTCCTATCTTAACTGAAAAAGTTATATTGGTAAGATCAAATTTAAACCACTCCAATGCACTGCCTGTAATACCTGCACAGTGTTCCAATCGATCAATAAGGACAGCATGATCAACAGTATCAAATGCGGTAGTGAGATCTAAAAGCACAAGAACAGCGCAGTTGCCTGAGTCACATGTTAAGAGTAAATCATTAAAAACCTTCAACAATGCAGTCTCAGTAGAGTGATATTTTATGAAACCAGACTGAAAAACCACAAAGATCATATTATCAGCTAGAGAAGTTAGCAATTGTTCAAGAACAGTTTTCTCCAGAATTTTTGTAATGAATGACAAATTGGAAATGGGCCAACGAACAGTTGCATGTTTTAGCAGCTCAGGAATAGTAACAGTTTCTAAGCAGCGATTTATCAGAGTCAAAAGATATGGACCCACCACGTCCAGAACTTGTTTAAGAAAATATGGAGGAATCGCATCAGTTGGAAAGCCAGATGGTTTAAGATGATCCACTAATTCTATCAAATAGTTTTCAGTAATAGGAGTAAAATGACTTAAAACAGCAGTGCAACTAGGGGGAGTCGAAGGGTCAGACAGAACAGGATTTATCCCCATTCTTATATCATGTATCTTATTTACAAAAAATCATAACATGATAGCAAAGACACTTCTGTAGATGAGAAAATGGAAGGATTGATAGTGGCATTGATAATGTTAAAAAGAGTTTTTGGCTTATGACAGTTCTTATTTATAATTTCAGTGAAATACCTTGATTTCGCAGTTTTTACAGCGAAAGGCAAACGATGCCTTTTGTTGAGGTGATGTTGCCAATGACCTTTGTATGGTGTTTCCACCAATGCAACACATCATCAGATGTGTACCCCAGCCTCATTGGGTGTTTCGGCCCTTTATCACAAGACACCCTCAGCCGAGGCAGGCCCACCACAGGCTGATCAGACCCGGGTGTGTGTCACTTTGTTACATGGTCATTTGGCAGCCCACACTGTGTCTTTCAGTGGTAGTGGCCAGTTCCCTGACTATCCTCCGCTGGGTCTGTCCTCTGATGTCCAACTCCTTCAGCAGCCTTATACTGGAACTAGCCACAAAGCCCCTAGTCTTGGCGCAATTGTAGCAAAAGCGCGATCACCCCTGCACTTCCGCCTCGTCTTGAGGATAAACAAGAGTCTCTGGTTGGAGGACCGGAGAGATCTGGTTACATTGTGCTCAATCAATAAGTCAGAGATATATGATGGAGCCATACCATTTAGTGACTTATAGACAATAAGTAAAATGTTTAAATCTACTCTCTAACGCACAGGCAGCCAGTGTAAAGACTGTAAAACCAGAGTAATATGATTCCGTTTATGAATCCCGGTCAAAAGTCTAGCTGCCGCATTCTGAACCAATTGTAATCGGGATAAAGCTGTTTGACTAATCTCAGCACAAAGTGAGTTACACTAATCTAATCTAGAGGTAATAAAAGCATGAATCACTTTCTCAAAGTTTTTAAAAGAAAGAAAAGTCTTCGCTTTAGACAGAAACCGCAACTGAAAAAAGGATGATTTGACCACAGAATTTATCTGCCTATCAAACTTCAGATGTTCATCAAATACCACACCCAAATTTTTCACATATTGCTTAACACATGATGATAACCCACCAAGGTTTGGATTGGGAGCAGTCAAAGAATCTGAGGGTTTAAAAACAACAATTTAATTTTTTTTCCTCATTGAAATTCAGAAAGTTTAGCGACAACCATGCCTTTACATCTGTCAAACAGGCCAGGAGAGCATCCAGTCCATCCGAATTCCATTTTATTGGCAGATAAACTTGTGTGTCGTCAGCATAACAATGGAATGACAACCCATATTTTCTGAAAATGGAACCAAGTGGAAGCATATATAAAGAAAAAAGTATGGGAGCCAAAATGGATCCTTGGGGAACCCCACAGGTTAATACAGCATTACTAGAAGTATGATCTCCTATCTTAACTGAAAAAGTTATATTGGTAAGATCAAATTTAAACCACTCCAATGCACTGCCTGTAATACCTGCACAGTGTTCCAATCGATCAATAAGGACAGCATGATCAACAGTATCAAATGCGGTAGTGAGATCTAAAAGCACAAGAACAGCGCAGTTGCCTGAGTCACATGTTAAGAGTAAATCATTAAAAACCTTCAACAATGCAGTCTCAGTAGAGTGATATTTTATGAAACCAGACTGAAAAACCACAAAGATCATATTATCAGCTAGAGAAGTTAGCAATTGTTCAAGAACAGTTTTCTCCAGAATTTTTGTAATGAATGACAAATTGGAAATGGGCCAATGAACAGTTGCATGTTTTAGCAGCTCAGGAATAGTAACAGTTTCTAAGCAGCGATTTATCAGAGTCAAAAGATATGGACCCACCACGTCCAGAACTTGTTTAAGAAAATATGGAGGAATCGCATCAGTTGGAAAGCCAGATGGTTTAAGATGATCCACTAATTCTATCAAATAGTTTTCAGTAATAGGAGTAAAATGACTTAAAACAGCAGTGCAACTAGGGGGAGTCGAAGGGTCAGACAGAACAGGATTTATCCCCATTCTTATATCATGTATCTTATTTACAAAAAATCATAACATGATAGCAAAGACACTTCTGTAGATGAGAAAATGGAAGGATTGATAGTGGCATTGATAATGTTAAAAAGAGTTTTTGGCTTATGACAGTTCTTATTTATAATTTCAGTGAAATACCTTGATTTCGCAGTTTTTACAGCGAAAGGCAAACGATGCCTTTTGTTGAGGTGATGTTGCCAATGACCTTTGTATGGTGTTTCCACCAATGCAACACATCATCAGATGTGTACCCCAGCCTCATTGGGTGTTTCGGCCCTTTATCACAAGACACCCTCAGCCGAGGCAGGCCCACCACAGGCTGATCAGACCCGGGTGTGTGTCACTTTGTTACATGGTCATTTGGCAGCCCACACTGTGTCTTTCAGTGGTAGTGGCCAGTTCCCTGACTATCCTCCGCTGGGTCTGTCCTCTGATGTCCAACTCCTTCAGCAGCCTTATACTGGAACTAGCCACAAAGCCCCTGCTGCCCACTTCCACCGGGTATACTTTCACTGTCCAGCCCCGCTCCTCTGCCTCAGCTGCCAAGATGGCATATCGTAGCTTCTTCCTTTCAAAGGCCTCGTTAATGGCCTATTCCCAAGGTACTGTCAGTTCGACTATTATGACAATCCTACTGGAGTTGGGCCAGAGATCCAGGTCTGGGCGCAGATTGGTGACTGCAATTTCGAATGTGAAAGTGAGTCTGTGGATTAAGTCGACTCGCATTTCCCAGTCCCTAGCTGTATTCAGCTGGTCTGCGTCAGGGGACAGGAACTTGGCCTGCTTTTTCTCCCCTTCCTCAACAAAGGACTGCCTTTTTGGTAAGGTATTCTTGGCATTTTGGAAGATGGCGTTTGTTGACACTCTCTTGGTCTCTGTTGCTGCCGCCAAGCACTTCAGTACTTGATTGTGGCATCATGTGTACCTTCCCTGTGCCAGGCTGGTCTTACAACCCACCAGGATATGTCTGAGGTTTGCCAGGGCTGCACACAGGTGGCAGGCTGGGTCTTGTCCACACCATACCTGCAAGTTTGTTGGAGAGGGCAGCACATCATATGTGGCTCTCACGATAAAACTTAGCCTGTTGGTTTCCATGCTCCACAGCTCACTCCAAGTGATTTTACGCCGTTCTATACCTTCCCACCTCATCCAGCGGCCTTGTTGGGCTTGGGAGACTGCTCTAACGCATCTAGTTGCTTCCTCCTGCCGGCATACCTCCTCCACCACTAGGTGTCGCTGTTCCTTTGCTGTTGCCTTTTGCCATTTAGGTGTTATTATTCCCAACCCAAGTCTCCCTCTACCATATTGGACTTGCCCCACAATATCCTGTCTGAGGGCTGCCTTTGCATCAGCAACTGCTGTAACTGGATTCCATTTCCTCCCTGTCGCCAATGTTGGGAGCAGCATCTCTTAAACAGGGATTGCGGGATTCTGTAAGCATCATCTCAAGCCTCGTTTTGGTGCATTTGTACTCCTCCACAAGGCTTGAAATAGGAAGAGAGAGAGCTCCATTGCCGTACAGCCATATGCTGCTAAGGCATCTTGGTAGCCCAATCCATTTCCTCAATTGTGTACTCACCAGTCTCTCCAGATGCTTGGCATGAGACCTATATATCAAAAATAAAAACTACTAAAAATGACAAAAAAAAAACACAAAAACATCTACTAGAATTTTTATTTAATGAAAAGTGTAAAAATAAAAACTGATACTCAGTGATACTAAAATAACAACAACAACAACAACAAAAATATATATATATATATTTATTGTGAATAACAAATAATTATATAAAATATTGCAATAAAATTAATGTATTTTTTGACAAAAAAATTACACTTTTCCCACTAAATTGCTGAAAAACCTAGTTCTCATTATTGTAATGAGAAAAATACTAAAATATTAAACTGTACATTATCATTTAAGTATTTGTAGTACTACATTTACTGTATGCAGGTTTAAATAGAAATTGTTGTGTTAGTCTTTTACTGTAATACTGAATCTAATGAAGTCTTATAATAATAATAATTGTTATTATTATTAATTATTGTTGTTGTTATTTTTTATATATAATATAAATATTATTTATATTTATATAATATATAATAAAAGAAAAAGAAAAAACACAAAACTCAAATTCGTATATATAAACATAAAATAAATTTAAAAATTATAATTAAAATAAGTCTTTATTGTGGTGTTTAGATAAATGTCTATAATAACACATTCAAAGTTGTGATTATTGTTTATTTCCACGCATTATTGAGGCCTGTTTTCTGATGTTGTGTTGAATGTCTGTGTGTGTCAGAGCTGTTGCAGCACGAGCAGCAGGAAATGTCCGCACAGCTGGCGAACCTGCAGAGCGACGTGCGGGTGAGTTACGGTAACGATGCCCTGATGCCCGACAGCACCGGCAGCCTGGACGTGCTGCCTGCTGAAGACACGCAGGGATTCGGCTTCATCCACCCCGAGAGCTTCAACCAGCCCAACACACAGAACCAGGGTATATACACACACATACTGGTCTCCAAGTTTTATGGGAAATTCCATAGACATAATACTGTACCTATACTGTATACCCCTCACACAAAACTTTCTGCTAATTTAAATTTCCAAAAAACTTCATTCTGTATGATTTATAAGCTTGTTTCCTCATGGGGATAAAAAAAAAGTCCCTATACTGTCAGGAATAGCAGGAACACACACACTCACACACATAGACCCCAGGGGCTTCAACCAGCCCAACACACAGAAGCAGGGTATACACACATACAAACACACACGTATCCCAGCAGCCCCGGCTGCCTCATGAGCGCCTGAGCCAGGTCAGCGCAGTGAGCGCCATATGGAAGCAGATCTAACATCCGCCGTCAGGAACATGCTGCACACTAAAGCACTCGTCACTCGAACTGTTACTATTATTTAAATACTATACAGTATTTATTCATATTTTTTTCATTAAGTTATGTTCTTTTGCCATTTTTATTTTTATTTATTTTTTTAGCTATTTCTAAATATCTAGTTTTTGACGTTTTTTAGGTATTTCTATTTAGCTTTAATGTATTGTTTTAATTAAAGTTTTTTTCTTTTGTAAGTTTTTCATCTAATTTTGATATTTATATTATAATTTACATTTATATTAGAATTTTTATATTTTATTTTATTTCAATTAACAAAAACTATTTTTAATACAAAATAACAGCAGTTACTGAATAAAACACTGAGTATTACAGTGTTATATTTCAGGTTTATTTCCATAAAAAAATTCAATAGTTTTACTTAACAAAATAACAACAGTGTCTTTGTTTTATTATTTTTTAATGATTTATTTAGGTTTTATTTCAATTTAAAAACATTAATAGTTTTAATTAATACAATTTGTTTCTATATAAAACACGGAGTATTAAAGTATTATTTTTCAGTTTTATTTCCATTAAAAAATTATAGTTTTGGTTAAAATAACAACAGTTACTGAATAAAACACTGAGCATTAAAGTATTACTTTTCAGTTTTAATGTATAGTATTAAAGTATTATTTGTTTCAGCTTTATTTCAAATAATAAAAACATGTTTTAATCATTTTAGTTAACAATATCAACAGTTACTGAATAAAACACTGGATATTAAAGTATTGTTTTTTAATTAACCAAAAAGAAATTAGTTTTAGTTTTACATGGCAATAACAATACTGTGACTGAACAAAACACTTGAGTGTTAAAAGTGCAAGGGTTTCGTGTCTTCTCTTCCTGTCAGTCATTTTGCATATGAAGTTAGCAGACACTTTCCTTCAGTGTATAATCTAGTTGATATGGTTTTGATGTGAATATGAAGTGAATCAGTAGCTGATGTCTCATGTCTCTCTGCAGTTGAGCCGGTCGATGCGCGACCCATTCCAGACCGAGGCCTGCCGATACGACCAGGTACATGTGATCAGATGTGCATTCTGGGGTATTATAGTTCAATAAAACTAAAACCATAAGCATTTCCATTACTTTAAATGAAATAAATTATAACTGAAAATAAATATTTAAAAAATAATAATAATTCAGCTTGTTGCCAAAGCAACATTTCTCATTTTAATTTAGTTTAATTTGATTCTTTAAAAACCTAAAACTAAAATAAAAATGAATAAAAACTATATAAACATAAAAAAAATAACAAAAACAAGAACATCAATATTAGGGCTGCACGATAAATCGCATGCGATATTTAATGCGCATCTTGTCAGAAAGCCGGTTCTGTAATCAGCGGTAAATCTCCATCTGTGTAGTTAATGCTGCTCAATGTGAAAGCACGTACGTGATGGAGATTTACCGCTGATTACAGTAAAACCGGCTTTACTGATAAGATGCTCGTTAAATATCGCATGCGATTTATCGTGCAGCCCTAATCAATATTCATCAAGATTAATCTGATTTGACAGTATTCTGATTATTATACAGACCACAAGAAACTCATTTGGTGTTGTTGTTGATGAGCATTTTTGATGGCCGTTGTGAAAGTGTCTGAGTCCCAGTTAAAAGTTTGTGTAAAGTAGTAATAAATTAAATAATCTCCCCAGCAAAAACATGCATGTGTAGATTGGCTGACATAAACATCATATTCAGAATATGGCTGCAACCTGAATATAGAGCTGAAACAGAAATTGATGTGCATGTAAACAGTCAATTCCAGCTGCACAAGCTCGATTGCATCGTCACTAAAACGTGTCCGAACCGTTATTTAATATCTGTCTCTGTGGTTGTTGTTCAGTGTCTGGACTGAAGCCTGATGATGTTCCTGAGTTGCGGATGGAAGCTGAAGAAAGACACAGTGAAGTTTACCATCAGAAACTGGTACCTACACATAGAAACACTTCATACACCCACTTAAAATGAACTTAATTAAAAAATAAATATTTATATTTCGGCATGCATACACTTCCACGGCTGTACCCGTGTTGCCCGTTGTATTACAGGATGCCGTTGTCATGGCAACACATCCCTGATGAGAGTTCAGCCTGTGTGACTGTAATTTCATGTTTGTCTTTTGTTTCTGGTGTTCAGGTTTTCTTCGCAGAGGACGTCAGCTCCAATAAGGGAGCTATTATTGGCCTGATGGTCGGAGGTGTTGTCATAGCAACCATCATCGTCATCACCCTGGTGATGCTGAGGAAGAAGCAGTACACGTCCATCCACCATGGAATCATTGAGGTCAGTGAGTGCACTCGTGTGTGTGTTTATTAATTCATCATGGTTTGTCTCATGAAGGAAGAACTTGAATCAAATGAGCCGAAATAGTGATTCATTTGAAATCGGAATGATTTTGACCCTCAGGTGGACGCTGCTGTGACCCCGGAAGAACGTCACCTGTCTAAGATGCAGCAGAACGGCTATGAAAACCCAACATACAAGTTCTTCGAGCAGATTCACAACTGATGGTGTGCCTCCCCGTACCTCCTCCTCATCTGCAGACGGTGCAGGAGACACCAGCCCAACCTCACCGCTCATTAACATCATGCTTCCTATTGGCTAGTTTACATGTCAATCAAACATCACCTACCATTGGCTTGACGAAGATGAACTTTGTCAGTTTCAAATTGTTGAAGAGGCAGTTTCAAACAGAATGCACAAAAGATTCAATTCAATTTGGTTCAAAAGATAGAGATTCAATACAAATTGAACGCATAATTCAAATTTAGTTTTAAATTCACTACAGATTTTTCCACTATGAGCTCCCATTGGCTGGACAAATGTGAACAGGAGTTTAATGCTGTTGGGGTCAGTTTCAAGTTCAAGTATGAAGTCAATCATGTCAAATTCAATCCATAGTTCTGAATTCACTCCAGAAAATTTAGTTTCAAAATGAATTGAGATTCAATTCAAATCACAAATCAAACTCATAATTCAAATTTTGTTTTCAATTCACTGCAGATTTTTCAACTCTAACCTTGCATTGGCTGGACGAACAAGAACATGGTCAGATTAATACTGTTAGGCTCAATCTTGAGTTTCAGTTTCAAAATGAATGCACAATTCAAATTCAAATCACAAATATATTTCAAATTCATATCACAAATCAAAGTGAATCCATAATTCGAATTCAAGTCACAAATTAAATTGAACACATAATTCAAATTAAAATTAAAAATCTAATTGAATGCATCATTCAAATTCAGTTCAATTCACAAATCAAATTGAACGGCAAATTCAAATGTGCCTAAATCAAAATCTGATTAATGCTGATAGGGTTGATTTCAAGTTCAGTTCAGTTTAAATTGAACGTTTGAAAATTCAGTTTTAAATTGTATTTACATCAAATTCACTCCAAATTTTTCAACTATGACTTTTGGCTATTGGCTAGATGACCATGAACATAATAAGATAAATGATGTTGGGTTCAGTTTCAAGTTGTTGAAGATCCAGTTTCAAATTGAATGCAGAATTCAAATTCAGATTGCGAATTAGATTGAATACATAATTTAAATTTAGTTTAAAATTAACTCCAGGTTTCAACTATGGTCTCCCATTGGCTGGACATACACAAACATGATCAAATCAATGCTGTTTAAGTCAGTGTCAAGTTAAATTTAGTCTAAATTGAAAAAAAAAGACTAGCCATAAATATGTACTGCATGATAGAAAAAAATGACGGACAAAACTCTTCTGCTATTTGGATCTTGGTCTTTGCTCACATAGAAACATTTTAGCAGGGTTAAACAGTAACTTGTGAAAATATGATTTGAGTTTGAAAGAACTTAAACTCGATGAAATTCTTTTATTTCAATATCTTGTTTTTTGTTTGTTTTTTATCAGACTGAGATCCAGCGGTGGCTGTTGATGTACATTTACTGTCTTTAATGTTTTCGTCCTATGCATTTCAGAGATTTATTCACTCCTTCTTTATATTTAATTTTGATTCTCCATTGAACTTGTGGTTGTACGTGTTTTTTAAGCGGTTGTTCGGGGCGGGTTTTTCGGATCGTTCTCTGTCTCTGTTTCTAATCAGTCAGTTTTATGTTCTTAGGTCACTCCGTGTCTGCAGATGTAGAAAGTGTTTTTCTCCACTTCATCTCTCAAGCGCTGACGCTTGTCTTGTCTCAGTTTTCGCTCCGCTGCAGTGCTGATCTGCAGATACAGATGCAGTGATGAGATTCTGAGAGATTCATCTCACTGCAAAATCAAAAGAAAAAGATTTTTAACAGGCAATAATAATTATTTTTCATTTTTCATCATTAATGTAATGCAAAAAACTAATAATTTGAATTGTGCAATTGTAAGTATTTATCATGATCATATTTGTAATTAATTAAAGTTGATTTATAATTTTTTTAAATATAATTTTTATTTATTGCTGCATTACAGTAATGAGAATTTGGGGTTAAATGTGCTTAATATACATACAAATAATGTAACAGTGCAAAAAAAAATTTATAGACTCTAAAGAATAGGCTTACTTTTCTTCATCCGAAATATTCTCTCTTTTTTTCTTTTGATTTTGGGGTGAAATATGAGTTGGAGTATGTGTTTTGATGCATCATGTCTGTCTCCTCTATGGCACTCACACATGTGTTTTTGTTGTAGTCAATTTAGAAATTGTCTCATGACTGAATATGAGGCTGGTTACCAGATTATGAGTTTAAACTGATGGTTATTATCATGTGACCTCCAGGATTTGAAATGACTTTGATTTACAGTCGATCACACTGTAAACGGTTCATAATCAATCCATCTGATGAATGTCAAATCAGTTGTTTACAAACTCTTCCTTCACGAACGTTATTCATGGCTGTTTTCAGATCAGTGAGGAATCATGGGTAATTCTCAGTTTGTACTGCTGTGGTTTGATCAGATTTGAGGTGAATAGAGATGCTGAGTGTACTGATGATAGTGATGAGGGTCTTTCAGTGGCAGTTTTCTGTGTATCATTTGCTTTGACTGGAAATCAACTGCGCCTTCTACACTGTATTCCATAAATAAAGTTTTGAATGTACGTACAGACTTGTTTTGTTGTGGCTCTTTTGCAACATGGGTGGTTTAGAGCTCAGTGACGTGGTGGATTGAATGACACTCAAATTGCAGTGCAATTACTCGGGTAATTCTTGGTTTCAGCTAATGGTTTACAGAAGAAGCAAGCAGAGGAACTGAGATCAATCCACGGCTGTGTCCTTGACCAAAATAATGAGCAAGAAAAAAAAACAGAATAGAACAAATCTTTGTTAATGATTTTACTTTTATTTTCTATTGCATTTCTGTTATTAGCTGTCATATTGCCCTATTAAAATCCTTGTATTTGAGTGGTTTTTTTGTCAAATAGGTTTTATTGAAAGAAAGATTTTGAAGATGGATTTGCAATCTTACATTTTCCGTCTCTTTTACCTGTACTAAGAATACAATCAAAATTTGAAAAAAGAGAGAGAAAAGAAAAAACAACACATCACAAACCACCCCTTACCAGACCTGTTTACATTAAATGATGAAGATATATTAAAACATTAACATATGATGCATTAGTCCATAGGGTTTCCATCGAGATAACAGAGAAAAGGGTACCAGATTTTGTCGAACTGTTCAAATTTGCCCTTCAAACAGTATCTAATTCGTTCCAAATCGAGGGGTGAGAACCAGAAGGGCGTAAGTGACATTTTGGGTGAAATGGAGATATATATATATATCAAATGAAAGGTCTTGATGAGCTCTTTCTACTGCCAAAAGGACACAAGTGAATTCTTAATAATTTTGGAGTTATTCATTAGAAATCAAAAGACTCGACACTGAACATACTAAGCCTGTTGGTTTTAGTTTTGGCCCTCCTGTAAAGTTGGGGAAATGTCACTTACGCCCTTCTGGTTCTCACCCCTCGAAATGTAAAGTAGAAATCATCTCTCCAAGCCATAATTTGACTGTCGGAGCCTCCTTTTTCTTCCAGAACAACAGTAACTTCTGTAATTAAACTGCATGCAAGCAGTTTGTGTTGTGCTCCTGATAATGGCATCATATGTTCAGGAAGTCCCAGAATGAGAAGTGCCGGATCTGGCTGCATTTACACCCTAAAAATTCCATTAACCCTGTATCCTGGAGCAAAAAATAGAACTATGGGACAAATCAGCATCTACTGAATTACATTTGTCACAAAGAGGTGACACATTTTGGAAAATTCTATGTAGTTTCTTAAGTCGTGGCCTAATGGTTAGAAAGTCGGACTCGTAACCCAAAGGTTGCGGGTTCGAGTCTTGTACAGCGCTCTCTTCCACCTTCAGTACCACGACTGAGGTGCCATTGAGCAACTGCTCCTCGGGCGCTGCAGCATAAATGGCTGCCCACTGCTCCGTGTGTGTGTTCACGGTGTGTGTACTGCTGGTGAGAACCAGAAGGGCGGAAGTGACATATTGGGTGAAATGGAGATATATATATATATATATCAAATGAAAGGTCTTGATGAGCTCTTTCTACTGCCAAAAGGACACAAATGAATTCTTAATAATTTTGGAGTTATTCATTAGAAACATTAGCACTTAGGATGGGATAAATGCAGAGCACTAATTCCGAGTATGGGTCACCATACTTGGCCACATGTCACTTCACTTTTCACTTAATGTAGTATAAATAAATAATGTAGTCTCTGATTGATCTTAAACTGAAAAAGGCAGTGTCTAGAATTAATAGAATATACGTTAATATCCTTTAAACTCTGCCACGTTTCCTCAGAGATTTCAACTCCCTAGTTCTTTCTCCCATTCTTCCTTAAAACTTATAGAGGAAGAAATAATTGTAGGCTAGCAGATCATAAATGATGGATAATGCCTTTTTACTTCCTTTACACTTATCAGTAATGGAGGGTGGTGTATTATCCAATGAATTGCATGAGCACGTATAAAAAAATCCTAACCTGTAGAAATCTTTTTAAAAAATGACTGGGGAAATGTACATTTCTTTTGCAGCTGACTAATGGATGTCAGAGCCCCATCAGTGAAAATCTCCCCTATAGTATGTACACCCATTTCTTCCCAATGCACAAAGGTCCCATCCAATCTTGAATGATGGTTTCTTTGTATCATCATTTTGTGCAGCATTTTACTTTCTACACATGAAACGCTCCATTCACACTGACTGCCTCTGCTGTTCAAATCATCATCACTCCTCAGCAATTCCATTACAATAATTGGTACAATTAAAAACATTAAAAACATTTTCGAGTCTTGAATATTAAGAATGTACTGCCTGATTTTTCGATAAGAATCTTTTTAATGCATCAACATGAAAACAGTAGAGAATGGTGCAGATCAGACTGATTCTCGATTCGCCTTTGTGAAACACTTTTTAGGCTAATAATTGGGTTAAAATGATATTCTAATGGTCCCACAGTTGATAAATAATGAAGGATATTTACTTAAACATTCAGAATTTTCAGAGAAATGAATACCTCCAGATGAGTGTAGGATATTGTAGTTGCAATACCAGCAGGATTTGTGAGGCTTTTGCAGGGCTTCTGTGAGTCAAAGCAATCAACATTTAAAAAAAGAGATCTTATTAAACGGTATTAATATTAAAGATAAAAAAGTGTAATAATATATTTTTTAGATATTTGATTCATTGCCCTGCAACATTTCGATATAAGTAGCCTACTTCTGGAATAACCTTTTTGAGAATATCAATTGGAAATTGATTTGGACTTATAATAACAAATACTGTGTCACTAATAAAGTTAGTGAAATTTACTTTAAAATTCTACATATAATTTATCCAACTAACCAGTTCCTCAAGAGATACAAAGCTGATCTCTCTGAATATTGTGTTTTTTTGTGGAATGGATGTTACGACTATTTTGCATCTTTTTTTTCGAAGTACAGGTATGTTAATGTTTGTTTGTTTTTGGGATAGAGGCTGAATGTTTGTTTACTATGTTGAGTGGATCTAAAATGAATATAAGGACAATAGATTATATTTTATTATTATGACAAAGAAATTAACGGTCCCCTATAGTATGTACACCCATTGCTTCCCATTGCACAAAGGTCCCATCCAATCTTGAATGATGGTTTCTTTGTATCATCATTTTGTGCAGCATTTTACTTTCTACACATGAAACGCTCCATTCACACTGACTGCCTCTGCTTTTGCATCTTTTTTTTTCGAAGTACCGGTATGTTAATGTTTGTTTGTTT